CTAATGTCTGTGTCCACATGTGAGACACTGTGAGACATGGGGCCACTGAGTGTCACGTATTCATCCGCTTATAAAAATGTGGTTAATGGCATTTACTGTCTACACATGAAAGGTTGTGCCGAGCAGCAACCAAATCCACAGAAGGGTTAATGCTGAGCAGCAATTATGCAAATGGAAACCTGGTAACTGCCTGGTTGCAAACTATCAGATCTAGAGGAGAGGTATTTAGGCCCAGTTCTCATCCTGCTCAGTGCCCTGTTGTGGTTTCCCTTGTGGTTGTCCGAGAGCGCGTTATTGATTTTGGTTATTCTAGTTATTTGACTTTGGCATTGTTTTTGACTTCCCTGTTCTCTGGCATCCCTGACTCCTGACTTTTCCTTATCGTTGTGTCTCTTTCTGTGTCCCTTGACCTCGGCTATTCCTGACTATTCTTTGGTATGTTAGTCCGGCCATTCTAAGGTCGGTATACGTTACCTATCAGTCCTCTGTGTTACACAATTCTACGTGCTGGATCATTCTGTAATCCTGACACGGAGACACTTGGGGACACTGAGACTATGTATCACAGTGTCTCTATGTATCAAAGTGTCTCAGTGTCCCATGTCTCCCAGTGTCCCCATGTTGCCTCCAAGTGTCTCAGCGTCCCCAGATGTCTCTCTGTGTTCCCCATATCTGCAGCCTTTACCCCATCCCTCACTTCCCTCAGCTGAAGGCTGTCTCTGCAGGCTGGGAGCTGCTGTCTGGACTCTCTGTGCTTTGTAACTGCTCCCCTGCGGATCAGTGCGTAGAGAGATGCAGATATATGTTGTAACTTGCTGCCCCTGCCTCTCTCCACACACACAACCCCTACTGCCCGGTGCTGGTATTGCAGAGTAATCTCTGTTTATACTGAGTAAAATAAAAATAAAAATTTATTGCCGGTATTAGTGCAATATCGGCACGAGCCAGGCAGCCTCAAATAAATACCGGCCAGGTGGCAACACTAAGAGTAGTGTGTAAAAAATTTTTTCAGTCAATGGGCCTATTCCATGGGCATGGGCATGGACCTGGAGCTGCAGCTCCATCAGCCCATGTGTTAATCCGGCCCTGACTGAAACACACAGAGGTACACACACTGACACATACACAAGCACTTATTATTATTATTTATAAAACGCCAACAAATTCCTCAGCCCTGTACAATGGGTGGACTAACAGACAGGTATTTACATATACACACTGAGTGACACACTCTCAATGACAGACATATTCACTGACGGACACACAATAACACTTACTTGAAACACACTCACTGACAGACACACTCTTAATGACAGACACACATTCTCACTGATTTGAAACACTCACTGACAGTCACACACAATCTCACTGACAGACACACTCACACACACTCTCACAGATTTTTTAAACACACACACTAAAAGAAACACTTACTGACATACACAAGCAGACACACACCCAGGATACCGGGAAATTTCCAGGTGGGCCGTGGTACCAGGGGGCTGTGCAGCACAATAAATCAGTTTTACGAACATCGCGGCCGCACACACTGAGAGGCCGGCCATGTAGTGTATGGTGGACGCCTAGCCGGTCCAGCAGCACACTTACTTATACGGACAACAATGCAGCTGTCAGTACTGGAGGACTGAAGGAGCGGGCAGACCTGACAGTCATGCTCCCTCGCGGTTCCCAATATTCCCAGCATGGACACATCATAGAGTAGTGATTACTCTATGATGTGTCCATGCTGGGAATTGTGGGAACCACGAGAGAGCATGATAGAAACCAAGCTGCAACCTTTAAACCGGCCGCACAGGGTGGAAAACACCCCTCGAAGCCTGGATTCTGCCAATGCTGCAAAGAAGTGAGTGAAACTTTTCTGTGTGCCTGTAGCTGTTATGGGAGATTTGGGGTTGACCGAATGACTTTCACTGCTACTACTCCAAAGAAAAAAAACCCACACACAATATAAAAACGTTACTGGTTTGTACAAAATGTTATTTCAGCTACTGTTTCAGCTACAGTGGGGTTAATTTACTAAACTGGGAATCATTTGAAATGTTGCTTTATTCTGATTTTTGTCAGTGTTCCACCCAATAGCCATGTGATACAAGGAGAGAGCACTGATAGGTTGCGTTGTTACCATAGAAGCAGCATAACATTTAGAAGTGGCTTTTTTTAAATTTTTTTATTTTTTTATTATTGTTTTTTTTTTTCATATTAGTTTCTTAAAAATGTATTTAAAGCTTAAAGCTATTAAGGGAAAATTGAATTGTCAGAATTTTTTTTCCTCATTTTAATTATTGTTAATAAACATGCTAGAGCAACAAGTGTATGTTTTAACTAGTTAGTAGAAGGGGAAAAATAGAGGGAGAAAAAGAATCACAGGGGGAGAGAGACTCATAGGGAGAAGAGAGACAGAGGGAGACAGAGACAGAGGGAGAAGAGAGACGGAGAGGGAGATAGAGACATGGGGAGAAGAGAGATGGAGGGGGAGACCGAGACAGAGGGAGAAGAGAGAGACGCAGGGGGAGAAAGAGACAGAGGGAGAAGATAGAGATGTTGGGGGAGAAAGAGACACAGAGAGGTGCTGGGGGGAGACAAAGAGACACAGAGAGGGACTGGGGGGACAAAGAGACACACAAAAGGTTTGTTGTGGGGGCAAAGTGACATACAGAAGGTTTGTGGGGGCAAAGCTGGGCTGGGAGAGAAAGAGGCACACAGAGAGACTGGGGGAGACAAAAAGACACACGGAAGGTTTGTCGGGGGGGGGACAAAGACACACACAAAAGGGGCTGGGGCGAAAGAGACATACACAGGGCTGGGGAATGGTAAAAAGAGACACACGAGCTGGGATGAAGTAAAAGATACACAAGGGGAGTTGAAATAGACACACAAAGGGGGCTGGAAGAGACACAAAGGAGAACAATTGGAGACAAGATCCACTAAATGAGGTAAATAAAATCAAGAGGGAATAAGAATCACAGAAAATGGCGAGAAATTCAAAAGGGAGTTAAGAGAAATGCAAGAGAAGATGCATTGTTTTGTGTGTGTTTGGAGGGGATGCATTTTCGCCTGTCTCCTGCTCTCCCTGTAACTCAGTTCTTCAGCATGGGAGTTCATGCCGAAGAGCTAATTGACAGGTGAGAGAAAGACCTCTTATTAAATAGATTTTCCTTCCAATATTTACATTTTGCTAGCAATCTTGCTAACACAATGTACAGATAGACGTAATTTATGTGATTCAGCCAGTAATACACACATACACATATATACACATACATACACACACACATGTATATTAATGTGTGTATTAGTAATATATATAATGATGTCTATAATATTTAGACATATATTAATATAAATTTATATATACATAATACCTACAGAAATGTCATTAATATATAACATAAATGTAATGAGCAGATATTGGCCTAGTCTTGGTGATAGGTGCATACTCCAGCACATTAACATATTCAAAGTGATAAGCACACTCATAGGACTTCAAAATAAACAAGATAACTTTATTTCTTTACAGCTGTGCAATCGCACACATTCACCATTTCAGTCCCATTACCAAACTTTCCCTAATATGTCAAGGTAGTTGGACTGAAACTTTGATTATATGCAAATGCACGTCTCCTTAAAATAAAGCCACTCTGTTTATTGTGAAGCCCTATGAATGCTTTCTTTCGATGGAGTAATAGTTTTCAATTTTCAGTTGTCTTTTTCCACCTCTATATCAGCACACTATGCTGGGGCGACGTATTATTGGGCTGGTATAGAATTTTTTTCCAGGGCTGTTTTTAGTTCCCAGTCCGGCCCTGCCCACACCGACAGACAAACTCACACATTCTTGCACACACACGCACAAATTAATTTTATTTATTGTGGTTTGGGAGAGCTGGTGTGGGTCCTCTCTCTGTAGTCCAGGGAGGATCTTCTCCCTGACATCCATGGGGGTCTTCTCCCTGGGGTCCAGTGGCTCCGTTAACCTCCTTGCAGTTCCTCACTGCTCCCCCGCTCACAGTTTAGTGATACCGGGGCTGGAGCGACGTCATATGATGGCTTCCAGCATATCATCACAGGGGGCAACGAAGGAGCTATGAGGAACTGGAAGATCAGCTCGCGCCTGCCTCCGCTCTTCCCCCGGTATATTTTGGCACAGTAGATACCTGCATCCAGGTAAGCAGGTGCTTACTCTGCCGGCCACCCCCTGGGTCCCTTGTGACAGGCCATTGGTTCACCCCCCACCAATTTTTGCACCTGGTGTAGCTGCACCAGCGGGATCCCCGGTAGTTAGGCTACTGATGCAGATATGTACGTGAGGCTAAATAAAAGGCTGACTGAAATCCATGTTTCGAAGTCTGACACAAGATGATAGCAGAACATCGAATAATTGTGACCACACCTGTTCAATATAGCGTTTATTGTATTGGTGCCTTGTTGACGTCTCTGACCTCAGCTATTACTTCTGCATGTTTATTACCACTCCTCATCATTCTACCCATAACCATTTAAACCTTATTCTTTTTTTTTGTTTTCTTAATTTCTGCTTTAAAATTTTTAAATATTGTGTTTTTTTTTTTACCAGCTCTTATTGTCTTATTTCCCCAGTCATAAAAGATGTTTATTGCCTGAGAGAGAAAACCAAACAAACAAACAAATGTCATAACATAAAAAAAAAATAATAATAATTTAAAAAAATAATATATATATATATATATATATATATATATATATATATATATATATATATATATATATATATATATATATATATATACATAAATCAATGAGGACATAATCCCCAACTCCCAAACCCATCCCTGTCACCGTTGGTTTACTTTCCCGCGTTTTTTTTTTTTTTTTTTTTTTTTTTTTAAAGCGACCTCGCGAGCCTCCGCCCAGCGTGCGCGCGCACCTCCCAAAGAGCAGCAGCCGCCTCCTCCCCTTCATCTTCGTGACGTCACTGACTGGAGCGGCCGCCATTTTGTGCGGCTGCTGCTGGAGCAAGTGAGGGGGGGAGTTGTTCCTAAAACAAAAAAAAAAAAATACTCCCTTTAAAAAAACCAAAACATTAATAACAACATCCCTACCGACCGCTGGTCTGCGAAGAAGAAAAATCCAGACTCTCACCGACCCCCCTCCCCCACCCCCCAAAAAAACAAACCGAGGGAAGGCGACGACATAGTATCCCCCTCCTCTCCCCTCCTCCCGTGTTGTCATTTTGTTTTGTTTCAGTAAAACAGATCCCAGCGGTAAGAGAAAGCGAATGGCGGCTGCTGCTGTGTTTTGGGATGTGTGGGGGGCATTGTGTGAGGGGAGGCGCTGTAACACGGCTTTATGTAATCATTTACCGAGATATTCGCTTTATATTGATATATAGATATATGTGTAA